GCCGATAGTGAAGTGGAAGAAGTTCCCGAAACACCAAAGCTCGATTGGATCGCTAAATGCTGCTGCTCAAGAGTGCGAGAAAATTCCATTTTTATGCGAGCAAGGATCGATTTCTGTAAAGCTCTGTTTGGAGAAAAATTGCAAAGCTCATGAGCGGGAATTTCAAATAGAGAGAATTAATAGTTGTTCGATAGGATATTCATACATTTTTATAATTGCCACCTTTTTTAAATTTTAAAACCACGTAAAAATTCAATTTTTCTGATTGCCTCACCCTGTACATTCAATTGTTATCTTTTGCGGAGCTCCAAAAACTTTCGAATAGTTCAGATCGTTTTCTTCCTACCATTTGCTGAAAGTTTTCTGTATTCCCACTTTGTTCATGGTTCACTAGTATTCGCGCTTCTAGTGATCATGAACTTCTTTTTCGTTCCTGTGGCAAAGAACGAGGATGGGAAGACTCTGCAAGAATCAGCTTTCTCAGAGCCACTTAAATAATCTTCAAGTTTCTTTCTTGGAAAACTCACAAAAATTATTTCCGAAAGCATGAGCTTTCTTCATACGTGTCCTTAAAGGAATCCTTCACGGAAAAATCATGATTCTATTTCAGCCATAAATCACTGGCTTGAGACTCATTATCCACGATAAGAATGAAAAGAACAGAAATATTGCTTTTGTTTTGGTAAAAAATTCGAAAAATCGAAAGGGCTGCTACGCGTTCAAAGTGCCCACGGACGTCTTTCACAAATGCTGGCGACGGGGATGCTTCCACTTGGTTCTTGGAGTGCCTTCACTAGAAACTCTTTCTGGCCTTCTGCTTATTGCATTCACATCTTACACTTCTACTCCATCCTATTCCATCGATCGATTTGTCTCCACTCTCCGAAATCGCGCGCTTTAACCCGATTCTCTCATTGCGTCGCCTGGTACGTAGGCCGGCCGTGGCGACTTATTCCATGCCCGCCTTTGGCTCCGCCCGAATTACCTTCGATTGTCCATAGAATGGATTTTCGTGAGTTTGTTTCTCTTCGGGAACCGAACCTTCATGCGTAAAACTTTGTGTGTTGCATCTAGTGATCACAACTGATACATTCGTGTTGAGAAAGAATGCAAGAATTTCTCTCTTCACCTTAAAGGAAGGATCCCTTTAAGGTAAAGAGAGGGTCTTGAAGTATCTCTAATTCGATTCTGTGGTTCTGTAGGATTTTTCCTCTGATCCCGACCAGTAAGGCATTCCCTACCATTGCGTGTTTCCACGCTCCACTTAGGTGCGAATACGTCGGATTTTGCTCATACAGTGCGTTTCAAAAGTATGTGCACACCCTCAAAATTCACGTTTGAAAGGGAACCATGAGGTTTCGTGCTATGAAATCCTTCTCAATCGATTTCTCGTAGTCGATAACCTATCAATGGAAGCAAAGCAGATAATATCGCCTCACTTTCGGAAAAATTTTTTGGATGAAATTTTTTTCTTTGTTTCAAAAGTATGTGCACACTTGAAGAAGATCAGATTTTGGCGCCGAATTTTCCACCGATTTCAATCCGACTTTGCTGTTTTCATTTCGTCATCATGTCAATTCGCGCCATACTTCTTCCTGAAGATGAGCAAGCTCAGATCAAGGTTCTGCATGATAATGAACGTTCCAATCTAGAAATCGCACGATAACTTGGTCGTTCTCCTTAATGCATTCGAAGATTTATCTGGCACCCTGATAATTATACTCAGCACACACTCCGCTCCATCCACGATCCTTGACTGCTCAGAACAACAAAAGAGTAGCCCACATCCTGTCGGATTCTTCATTGACAGTCCGAGCTCAGATTTTTATTCCAGCCTCGAAAATGACCACTAAGCCCCTCATCCGCTCAAATGAATACACCACTCGACAGACGCTGAGAAAGGCTACTCACTTCAAGGCCCAGCACAAGTTAGCCACATTGGAGTCTGCTCGTACAGACATGGCAACATAGGATAGGACACCGGGCGAAGACACGGTTTTTCGAGAATTTCCTATTTTCAAAACAAGCAACTTTTTATGGACTTTCTCTCCTCAGGTAATCTTAACTCATGGAAAGAGTTCGATCTTGACGGGCCGGGTGGATTTTGCTACTACTGGAGAGGCTTGGCCGTGAGTCGCTCGTGCTCTCGAGAAGGAATTTCGGAAGAGGCCCGTTGATGGGTCTGCGGCGGTTTCGCAATCAGCGGAAATTCAGAAGTTGCCGTTCCATTATTGCGTATGAACTGTAAAGAATACCAAGCAGTGCTCCAATGTCACCTGTTGCCCTTCCTTAGCGAAGCGGAGCGAAAATTGCATTTTTAGCAACAGGACCACGTGTCTTTCGATGCTTCGCAATCTACCAAAGAATGGCCTTAACCAAATGGTGCTGAAGCGATAGATTGGCTTGTGTGTCCTCCTTACTGCAACCCTATAGGGAGCCCTTGATCAAGGCGTTAACTTTAGCAACCGGCAGTATAATACCGCGGATGAACTGAAGGCGGCGGTAGAGGCTATTTGGGCCGACAGCGACGAAACAGCTATGCCAAACGTGGTTCAGATTATGCCGGACAGGATGTTTGAGCTAATTAGAAACTCTGGAGGCCCCACTGATTTCTAATCTCAGCTATGTTTTTGTCTTTTGTTAAGTGTGCACATACTTTTGAAACAAAGAAAAAAATTTCATCCAAAATTTTTTTCGAAAGTGAGGCGATATTATCTGCTTTGCTTCCATTGATAGGTTATCGACTACGAGAAATCGATTGAGAAGGATTTCATAGCACGAAACCTCATGGTTCCCTTTCAAACGTGAATTGAGGGTGCATATACAGTAGCGGTCAAAAGTTTGGAAACTTTTTTATTTTGATCTAGCGCGGCCGACACACAACGAAATTGTCCCAAATTTAGATATTCCATACAAAATCGAGTTCAGAATACGACGGGAAGAACAATTTCCAAAAACCTATAATCATATTTGAGAAATAAGATTTTTTTCAAGTAATGGCGCGTCAAAAGTTTGGAAACTTTTTGTTTCCCTTATCAGTATGATTCCTACTCTTCAATGTTCACTTGTTTCTGTTAATTTTAGTTAAACTATTGAGCAATGTGTAATTTCGAAATGAATTCATATGCAAAGGAAGCAGTTTTCCATGGGAAGTCCTTTCTTGAACCCTACAATACGGAATACGAAATTGAAATGGTTTCTTAGTAGTTCAATCTCTAAGGAAGTAATAGCATCGAATGTTTCTGGCTTTGTTGGAGTCGAGCAAGCATAAGAAGAATGATCATTCACAAAAAAGTATCCTCACAAGAAAATTGGCCCTCCTCAAATACTTCGGAGGGTGGTTGGCACGTCCCGTGCCCCCGACATTCCCAAGTGAGAGACAACTTTTTCCAGTTTTCCTCTAATCATATTGAAGTCCAAGTGTAGCACAACATCGGCCGCGACCTGATGAATATTACGGATGGTATCCCAGCAAGTAGCCATTGTTGGGCTTCAAGAGCAGGATGGCCCAACTGGCTTCCGCACTCTAACGGCTAACATGAACCGGAGCCAAGAGGTGAAACTTTGTCCTCAGCGACGAATGAGATTTCTATCTTCCTAGAAATAATATGTGGACCCTGTGAAGTGTTTTGTCAAATGGGAACCTCATTTTGAGTATGAGATTCCAACAGTCAGAAATAGTGGAAGTATTGTCATGGATGAAGATGTGTCCGACCATTCGGCGATTCCCCAGTTCTAGGTATCCAGCGAAATGTGGGTTGGGCTAAGTACAAGTATAGTCTGTAGAATACAATGCTTCCCTTCGATAGTCAGAACTAGCCGGAAAAGATGGGTTTTCTATTACGGAAATGACCCGATGCAGGCCTACCTCCTCACTGCCGCCTTCCTAAACCCAGAAAAAGAAGCTGCTATGAAGCGACCAAGTCAAGATCTGAAGTCTAATTGAGTTCTACATCCCACGGAAGAACTGGCATGTCGCTCAACCCACATTCCAGTTAAGAATCCCACCAAACAATGTGATTTAGTTCACAGTGTATGAGGTCCGACTTAAAAATCCTAAAATTATTTTATAATCAATCCATGTCAATAAAAACGACGCTAACATAGAAATTCAAGCTACTCATCGAATAACTAATTTATCATGTGGATTTGAGAGCTATTTTGCCGAATTCGCTTTGGAATTCGGAAGTTTCCAAACTTTTGACGCGCCATTTCTTATAAAAATTCGTATTTTTCAAATGCGATTTCAGTTTTCAAAAAATCATGTTACCCATCGTAATCTACACTTGATTCTGAATATAATATGTGAATTCGGGGCAATTTCATTGTCTATTGGCTACGCTAGATCAAAAATAAAAAAGTTTCCAAACTTTTGACCGCTACTGTACTTTTGAAACGCACTGTACAAGCTTGCTTTTTAAATATTATTTGAAGCATTCGGCGCCAATGAATTCTGCTCCAGGATGAGTCACTCCTGCGTCTCTAGTTTGACGTTGTGAACGCCTTGGAACAATTTTCGCATCGCTGTGACCTGGTGAAAGCTAGCTATTTTCGTTGTTGTGATGTGGTGATGGAAGCGTAACTCTACTTCTAGCTTTATTTGGACTTCGTGAGCTTTAAGAGCTACTTATCATCCCTGCGGTCGAAAAAGCGACGATCTGGAGCTAGCTGAACCTATATGGAATAAAATCACTTTTTTGCCCACACAAACTCGATTTGCAGCCAGAGGTACCTTCTGCTAGCCCGAGCGTACGGTTGCCCTGTTTACAGGTCCTGGTACGGTGTGTGCGGTCAAAGACCATTTGGTTGACAATGGCTGCTCATTGGATACTTCAGTTTAGGACTTCTAACAAAGGTGCACTGCACCTACTGAATTCTGAACGTAGACCTCGTTGCTACAAACGTAGGCAAGGATTTAGCAAGAAAACTATTTCAGATACCTTATCACTGGCGAGGCTTACATCGTAGGACCTCCTTCCTATGCCTCAATGGACTCACGTGACATTTTGCTTTTTGTACTGGCATATACAGTACTGCAACGGTATCGGCAGTGTTTTACATGTCCGCTCGACGCCGGGCTCGAACTTCCTAAGTAGAGATGAACCGCGAGGATCACTGTCGAATCGTTTGAATGACACATCCGAGAAATTCATCGAAGGCTGGTTCTGAATGCACTATCATTTTCAAATTATATGCAGGCCTCGGTATTTTGAGATCGCTATAAATTGAGGTATATGAACATTTGAGTCGCTCTATTATGCTATGCCATTCCGGTGTGTTCCTAAGGCACCTTCATAAGTGCTAACCAGTTTTCAGTCAATTTCATCCTTAAAAATTCCGAATTTCCTACAAAAACAACCCATCTTTATCCTATTGCGACAGGAGGTGTCAGCTCTTAGCGGTTAACACTACTTTACGATATTTCCCTGAAGAGGACTAAGACTAAAAGTTTAAGGCCTTACATAAAGGATATCCTCAAAAGTGGAGTGCAGGTCATGATGGGTGACAAGCTCCTGGCTGTTTATGAGCATCTGTTGGTGAAGTTCTTTTTTCCTCAGATGCTTCGGGAGCACGACGTAGAGAAACGGATTGTTCTGCTCGCGAATAATGAATTTGGTATACGCTATTACGAACAAGATCTATTTATGCATTCTTAAAGCAAAAATTCGCAAGAAATTCGAGAATCGCGGGCAAAAACCACCGATAGTGAAGTTGTAGGTGACAAGTTGACCAATAATGAAAGAAGCACTCAGTCCTCACTCATGGGAGATGCTGACTGAGCGCGTTGGAAACAGTGAGGCTCAAATTATCTTCCGGATACGCAATGCCCACCAAAACTTCGTCAGCTTCGTCGACTTAAGATCACCCTCTCCCTCTCCATGCTTCACACTCTTCGTGCCGTGTCAAATGCCTGAATACGACGTGGTCAGGATGAAGTCATGAGCAACGTTATCCAACGTGCCATGGAGAGAATATTTCTTTGCATTTCCCAGAAATTTTACTCGCGAAATGCAAAGTTTTATGCGCGTAGACTGAACTCTGAGAACGGTTGAAGGCCAGGGACGCTAATATATTTGCCTAAGAGACATAAGACACATTGGGCCGCACTCCTTCCGAGATCTTCTTAAGGTCTTTAGGCTGGAACATCGAGCAGGATCAACGTTCCCTTACTCCAAATTCAACAAGGGAAGGAGTCGTATTTTATCGAAGGAAAGCAGGGTTGTGAATGCAAGGAACAGCGATGGAATGTGAAGGGCACACGGTGCAGCATGATGTAGACTTCTAACAATAAGTGCAACTGCAACTGTTTTCAGATTTGCAATTGTTTCTAACGGCTTTCGGCCTTGTTGCCTTAGTCAGAGCCTGGAAAGCCAAAGATAAGTGCGGCGACTCATGCTCGAACACCATTTCAAACTTCAAGAACAGTCCCATAACCCAATCGCTCTAAGAAGACGCCATAAACACAGAACACTTGGACCCACCCTAACAGACGACCGGACGTGATGTCGACCACCACTAATATGACTCACAGGGGGTAGGCTCAGATAACCTGGCCCCGACTCGCCGATACTTAGTCGCGCCTGTGTATTTACGTCAGCGTACATTTTTCTTTGATTTTTTTATTCTCTCTCTTTTTAGTTCTCTGCCTTCTTAAATTCTTTTTCCCGTTATTTATCTTGCTTAAGTTGACTATATACTTTGAGAGCATCAGCGTAGCTGTGTTGACAACGATAGCACGTTCATACTTACAAGTGTAGTGGTATACCTGGCATTGTTTGGTAAAATAGAGATACATCCGCACGACAAGGGTTGTCGGAGCGCTTCCAAACGCCAAAGATCCCATTGCGCAGCTGACATTGACAATTGAGCGTTCACTCCTTGCAAGTATTGTGTGGGGTAATACCTTGACATTGTTGGTAGGTGACAAAAATGATAGCAATTGATCGAGGCTGATAAGAAGTTTTATAAGGCGAAAGCGGTCCCATTGCGCAGTCCACGCTGATATTAGTGTATACCAGCAATGATGCTATGAGGAGTGGCAGGATGGCTTCTATGATATAATAAATCAAGCATCTATGCTTGAGATGCTTTCGAGACGAATAGGGACTATGTCATTTTTGATGAATATATCGTTAAGAGAGCAGAGCTGGATTTAATTGACCTGCTGAAAATTTATGATAGATTTTAAACGTTGAAAGCATTACCCATTGCGATATCGATATTATAATAATCGCTACTACAGGGTGGCTACTAAATATTGGCGCATGGTTTATTGATCATATTTCTCCAAAAAGAGAAAGCTATCATATCTTCAGAAGTTTATTTTCATATACAATAAAACATGAAAATTCATATACCAAAGGAAGTGCTCGAGATGGTCTCCTTCGGAAGCGATACAGGCTTGAGGTCTCTTTTCAACTGACATCTCCGTGGGCCGCAAGTAGCCGACGTTGGCGAGACGTGAGTAGATCTTCATACCAGAAATGGCGCACGACCTTAAAAACGACAGCGGTTCATGGATCTGGCTAGCAGACATTCTGATCGGCCTTCTGTACACACAAGGTACCGTTTGTCAAATTTATCATGGTTTGCTGCGGATAACCACTGGAACCATGACACAAGGACCGCGGGATTGGCTTCGTGATGATGTACGTAAGTCAGCGCTAGATCTATACCCGAAACCAATTTCCCGGCCTGTCCTCTTTCCAAAGGTTCTTTGACTTCAGCGAACGTCATTGCATTCTTCAGCAAGACAGGAGGCGCGCCTCCACATTGCGCAAAATCAATGTTGGAGAACTGTGACCGTCATTTTCCAAAAATACCGGGCACGAAATGTTTGACCATCTAGGTCGCCCGATTAGAACCAATTGATTTGACAGTGTGGGGCTTCTTGAACTAAAGATGCCCTGAGCAACGTCGAAGTTGGACTCCCTGAAGGCTTTCTTGGAGAGAGTGTGAGAAGGACTAAACGCGCAGACTATTCCTTGCTAACAGTGATGTCGTTGATAGAGATTTGAAGCTTTTGTATCTGCTGCGGAGAGCCATTTCGTCACGCTTTTCATACAATGTTTGCATGTTTTAAGTAATCACGATAACCTCTGAGACGTAAATAGCATTCTTCGTTTTGAAAATATGTTCAGCAATCCATGCGCCACTATTTAGTAGGGGCCTGTATATGGCAATTACGATGTAATTCATGAATATTCTAGAATACTGTGACTTCTGCTCTGATTTTTGGGTATATACCTAGATTTGTTGTAATAAGCCCTGTTGTTGTAGCGTGTACTAAATATATCGGCTAAGTGTGCTGTGTGTATGTGTATGTTTTATTGACGGACTAATTGCATAGTCGAGTCAACGGTAGATACCGCGCAGTGGTCTCACTATGTTCTAGGGAGTATGAGAACTATCAGCGAATCACACACTCAGCAGTAAGAACAAGTGCTACGTAAATAAGGGCTGGATAACGACTGATTATAGCTGTCAATAGGGGCTAGAAAGCGTTCGCGTTCTTCGTTTTTTCGTTCATGTTGGCACTAGAGCGTCCATACTTACAGGTGTTATGTGGGGTAGTTCCGGAACGTTGGTGGTACATGACTGAAAGCGATAGGTCAAGAGTAAGGGTTGATAAGATCCGTTAGATCGCGAAAGTCGTCAACTCCGTTACCTGGCTCGCATTGATTCCCAATGCAACCATACTCGCAAAATGTATGTGGGATGGGACGGGGACATTGTTGGTAGGTAGTGGGAAAGTGATTGCAACTGATAAGGGCTGATAAGGGCGCAGTCAACAAGAGTCGCTTCAATTACCGTTTTCTATCGCTCAAACAGTTGTCGAGTACTATGGGACCCAAGACGAGTTCTACCTGAGCAATGGACGGAAGCCATAAGAACGATTCCGGAAGGTGATTACCTGACCGTAGCAGGTGATCTGAATGGCCACGTCGGCAGTGACAGGAGAGGCCGGGAAAGGGTGCACGGAGGTAGAGGGATAGGAGTGAGGAACGCCGAGGGAGAGAGGGTCCTGGACCTGGCTACGGCCCACGATCTGGCAATCTGCAGCACGTTCTTTCGCGAAAAGGGAGACTCAGAGGTAACCTACAGCAGCGAGGGCGAAAGATTAAATGACAATTTGTCGGTAAGAGATATTTGGTGGTAAAGTAATCAAGGTTTTAAAAAAGTCCTGGCGAGAATTGGCTCAGTCACAGGGCCTCTTGCAATCTGCATGGAGCTCCGAGAAGACATACCAGTTGACGTGAGCGCGATCCGGTGTGAAACGTTGCAACACGACAAGCGGAGAACGTATACATCACGAGGATAATGGAAGATGGTCTCCCAAATCCTAACGGGCCAATACAGCGGACTTGGAGCAACACGGCTGAGACCATCCTGCGATGTGCCAAGGAGGTACTGGGCGAGACCCGAGGTGGAATCAGAGGAGACAAGGCAGCGTGGTTCTGGAACGAGGAGGTCCAGCGAGTCGTGAAGCAGAAGAAGGAAGCATACAAGCGCTGGCAGAAGACCCGGAGCCCCGAAGACCTCGCTACCTACAGGAGTTGCAAGAGGCTCGCTAAGGCCGCCGTAGCCAAGGCGAAGAACACGGAGATGGACGCCTTGTACGAGAAGTTGGAAAGCAGAAACGCAGAGAAGTTCGTCTTCAGACTGGCCAAAGCCCGGCATCGGGCTACCCAAGACATCAGGTGGTGAGCGTGAAAAGAGTGACGGTGCCATCCTGAGGAAGCCATCCGAGGTTAGGAGGGGGTGGAAGGAGTACTACAAGTGCTCCTGAACGAGGAGTTCCCCCACAAAGACAGCCCGCAAGCAGAGGCAACGTCTGGCCCCATCGCACTGTGGACAGAGGATGAGGTTAGTCGAGAAGTAGCAAAAATGAAGGTTGGGAAGGCGGTTGGTCCAGATGGGGTGCCAATTGAGGCATGGAAGGCGCTGGGTGACTACGGATAGGATGGCTCACACGATTCCTCAACAACGTAACTGCGGAAGGAAGGATGCCAGATGCCTGGAGAACAAGCACTATCGTCCCCATCTTCAAGCAGAAGGGTGACGCGATGGACTGCTCCAACTACCGCGGTATCAAGCTGACTGCGCATACCATGAAGCTGTACGAGCGACTGGTCGACTCGAAACTGCGGGAGTTGGTCCCGATCTCCCAGGAACAGTTCGGGTTCATGCCCGAAAGGTCTACAACGGATGCCATCTTCATCGCAAGGCAAGTGATGGAGAAGTATCGAGAAAAGCGCCGACCCTGCTACCTAGCCTTCCTCGACCTGGAGAAGGCGTTCGACCGGCTACCACGAGCGGTACTATGGAGAGCGCTTTAGGGAAACGGAACGTGC